ACAACAAAGCTCATTTACAAGTTTGATTGTAAAAAGTAAATGTTACAAAATAGGCACGATTTTGACTTGGATGCTCGTCACATAGTGGGAAATATTTATAAACATAGGAAATCTTTTGTCAAAAATCAGACTTATTTTCCCCTACTGATTTGTTATTGTAAATGAATTTGACTTACTTATACTTCAGTTCTGATGAGTAAAATCCATCAGGTCATTTTGCACTCTTAATCCTTGCACAAAAGTGACGGAATTTCTTTGCTCAATTTTGTTGGGTTTGGGAGGATAAAATTCACACCCATCTTGCCCAGGTCCTCTGGCATCGATTGACTCGCTCGGCGGCCAAACTGCTCAGCTATGGCAGGGATTACGTCATCTTGCTTGATGATATTTTTCATGACTAAATGGTTTGCAACACCAGTGTTTGGAGTATATGCTTCAGTCAAATGGATACCACTTATATTTCGACTTGTATTCGAATCGGAATATGTAAAATGAGAGTTTGGCAGAATCAACAGGCCGGCCAGAACAGTGAAATATGATTCATTGGCATGGAACTTTGTAGCTTGCTGCATGTATTCGGCCTCATTGTCACCTTCACTGTGCGCAGCTCGGCTGGCATCGGCACTGATGCAGCTGCGTCGATCGAATTCTCCTACTCTCCGATCTCCATGCCGATGCTTTCTGAACATACTCACTTTTTGTCGAGCCAAACTCGCTTTAATTCGTTTTACAAGACTGAATTTGTCTTGATTGTCAGGGCTCATTCTCAGCTGATAAGTCGGGCTAGCCGTCATGTAATTCATGTGCACTCCATGAGCAATAGTGCCCGAGGAAAGCTGTAGAAAGTTGTTCGTCCCAGGCTCACCGGCATTGAATAGAAGTAAAGGTTGCTGCCTAGATAGGTCTCTAGCGCAATGAGTTGACAGACTAATGTTCTGCTCGGATATTGTCCGCATAAAACTTTGATTTGAAACGATAATCGGAATGTCTGATTGAGCCAAGCCGGCTGATACTGTCTGGCATGGTCTTAGGCTGCAGAAACTACCTTTGCGCTGCTTGACATTTCCTGTTTGCCCCAAGTCATATGGAAACCGTCTCGATTGCTTGTCATTCCCACCGCCATTAGCTGTCTGATGTGCATGTCGCTGCAGACGCAGCCGCTGTATCACTCGACGACGTTCCTGGTCTTTGAGAAAGGCCCAGCGCAGTTTCGCCAGTCCGCTGAAACGAGAAATGGATAAACTGCCAGACTCGGAAGTGGCGTGCAGTTTGGCGCTTGTCGAATCCCTATTCTGGAGCTTATAGGCGGATTGAGCGAAATTCACCTCTTCAAAACGGGGCTTATAGAATGGATGACGATTTTTCTGACTAGAATGAGGGGGATTCTGTGCGGCGAGGCCAGTGGTGTTCGTAGCAGCAGATACCAGACAGATGTCTTGTCTCGCAATCTCTGGATGTGAGTGAAATAGATGCGAGTGATGAGGCTTACACCGACTGATGGAATTGGATAGTCGGTGTGAATGACATTTGGCCGTTTGAAGTAGTGGGATGGGAAACTGACTTGCCGGCAGCTGGGTTGGCAAGCGCATAGTCTGCCCCGACGTATGATGCTGCTCGTAGAATGTAGACTTGCCCGAGGCTTGTGTGGTTGCTTTAAACCCACCGTAGGCGGTTGCCTTATGCTGGGCGCCTCTGGCAACCTGTCCACTTCTAGCACGTAATCGCCAGATACAGAGCAGATTGAGGAAGGCTCTTCTAAATTCTCGCATCGAGTGTGCATACACCATCGGATTGACAATGGAATTCAGGTAGCCGAGCCACGTAGCCACATTCCAGGTGTGTGCAAAGATTCGACTCGTCTTGGCTAGATTCGGTTGGCATGCCATTAGCAGGTTGCAGACGAAGAAGGGCAACCAGCAGCAGATAAAGATACCCATCACGATTCCTAATGTCTTTGCGGCCTTCTGTTCACGAACAAACTTGCTGATTCGTTTGCTCACGGTAAAGTGGCGCAGGCGAGATAGGAGACGCTGGTTTTGGTGATACTCCTGCATGTGATGAATAAGTTCACTGTTCTGGTGTTGTTCATGACTATGCTCTTGTCCCAAAGTGCTATGAGAATGCTGATTGGAATGCATGTTTCCGTGAGCTTCCAGAATGCTTTCTTGACTGGGGTAGTTGGACAAGCCTGCCGCCAGATATGCCATCATTTTACCAGATTCCATGTTAGGTAGGGAGTGTTCTGAAGCCAGGCAGTGTGGACAACCGGCCGATCTTGGGAAACCAACGTCGGCTGGATGCAATGTCATTCGTTTAGCTGACCTCGCCTGCTTTTCCTCTGCATCCGTCTCATGGCAACCGACCAGCCGGATCTTCGGCAGGCCTAAACGACCGCAATACTGTCTATTAGTCCTCGATAAGAGGCTGCCTGGTGATCGAAAAAAGTTTTTACCTGCAAAGGGGAAATATGATCCTCTATCCGATGCAGACTTTGCTCCTGCCTGCTTCAAAAGGTTGTTACGCCGACCGGAACTGTTTCGCCCTGCTGACTTATGCGCATCACCAACGGATCGAGTCAAATTAAAATTACTGTTACTATTGTTGATGGAAGCGTCAGAATTTCCTGTACCACATCCTCCGCGGTGCACTCTGAGCACCATTAATTCTGGCTGCGCTGTTTGTGGAGGCATCCATGGAACTGAGACCTGCCGCCGGCGGCGACATTTGAGGCAACAGTTGAAGGGCATATCGACTGAGCCCTGGCAACTGGAGCTGCAAATGAACAGACACCAGACACAAACATTGTGAAGAGACGGACCGGTAGGCCGGCATGAAGGCATGCCAAGTCCATGATATTTTCCGCTACTTCGTGGAGCATCCAAGATGGGCCGATTAGAAAGTGCGCCTGCTTGGCGGACTGATGAATTCAACTCGAAATATGCTGGCCCTGGTCCGATGACTTTTGTGCCTTCGCGGAAGCTGCGCATCAGTCGGCTGGCAGTTTGGTAGATACGAGCGTAGACCACCACCATAACGGCTAACGGGGCGTAGAAAGAGACGACCGATGAAAAGATCAGGTAGACGCGATCGGACGTGAATCTACAGACCCAGGGTCCTCCTGACGAGTAGTCGGCTGTGTTGCGCCACCATATGATTGCTGGAAATGAGATGCCTAGGGCCGACAGCCAGACTACAGCAAACATGACGACACACTGGCGCCGCCTCTGTGAAGAAGCGTAGGCAATTGGATTTTCTGTTGCCCAGTAACGCTCAATGGCTATTGCACACAAGTTGAGAATGGAGGCTGTCGAGCTGAGTACGTCGAGTGCATGCCAAATGTCGCACCAGTCGGCACCGAATAGCCAAACCTCGTCAAAGAGTACGACAATGGCTGCAAACGGCATGACTAGACTTCCCAAGAGGAGGTCTGCAAAGGCCAAGCTCACCAAAAACCGGTTGGTTAGACTGGCTCGAAGGTGGCGTTCTCGTAGTACCGCCAGGATGACGAGGATGTTGCCAACGACAGCAAGCAGCACAAAAGTAGTGAGTAGCGGGCCTAGTAGTGCCACTTTAATGACTGCGACTCGTATTGAATCTGACCATGGTTGCCAGGTCCAAGTAGCGTTATCCACCCGCACAAGGCCAGTTGGTGATGACTCTGATTTGAGAACTAACTCATTTGTGCCGTTGGAGTTGGTCTGCTCACTGAATGTGCCGTAGAACATGATGGTGTCATTAAGTTCGGTTTATCCAGCCGATTGATGCATAGACGGGCAATGTGGCCTTGGCCGAAGGTAAAAGTTCATAGTGGTTTTTCTGCAAATGTGACAATTTTTTAATTAATTAACAGTAATTTAGCACCAAACTTTAAGCGATAAGTCCGACAAAAATATCTAGATTCAATGTATGAGGCAAAATAGTTGGCTTCTTAAAAAGTATGTTCGTTTTGGCGAGGAGAGAACTGTGATTGGTGGAACGAAAAGTATCAATCAGAGGCTATTCACTGGCATAATCACTGGCAGCCTAAAGTACTGCAAACCTGTGATTTAGGGATTAGGGAAAGCTTTGAGGAAAGGTAAAAATACACCCAACCAAAGCTTTATTGAGCTTAGACACATTATATCTCATGATGTAGAAATCGATACCACTTTTTAAG